CTCTGGCCAGTTAAAGGTTTACTGACACAGAACCAAGGGCGCCAGTTTTTTCAAAAACGGATTAACACAACACATAGAAAACTTTAATGAAAAATGTTAAAGCACTGTGGAGCTCAGAGGAGAGGGTGACATCTGAAAGGGAAGCCCAGGGGATGTCTGAGGGAGGAGCCCCTGAAGGCTCGGAGGCCCTAAAAGGCAGCGTGTGCGGTGGCCTGCGTGGGGTGGGTGAGAAGTGGATCGGCCACGACCTGGGGTCCCAGCAGCCCTGGCACAGCACTAGCCAGCAGGGCCTGAGAAAACGTGTTGGATGTGAGTGGACAGTGAGGAATGGCTCCCTCGGGGCCAGCAGTGGGCAGGGTCCACACTGGGAAAAGCCGCCCCAGCCCCGTGAGAATGAGGATGGAGGACTTCGTAAAGCAGCATGCTTCGAATCTCTGTGGTGGGGAGGAGAAAATGGAGCGGGGGGGGGGGGGGGGCGGGGGGGGGGGCGGTGGAGGGAGGGGAGAGACCAGGGGGCAGCATGGTCAGGTCAGAGGGGCGGTTGGTGCTTGAGCAGGGGGGGCGCTAAACTAAGGGACCTGTAGGAGGCTGACCCCGCAGCAGACACCGCCTTGCCACTCCTCTTCTTTATTGCCCTCTCTACTCGGAGGGACTGATGCGACTGTTTGCTCAGAGAAAACCCCGTCGTATCCAGCCAACCCCAGAGTCACTTAGGAAAAGGGGTGATCTCACAGGGGGACGAGGTTCCCATGGCTTCCTCCGGTCCCACAGAATGGCCCCGGCCCCGACGCCTGCAGCACCAGAGGACTGCGGCTCCCTGGGGAGCTTGCCAGGACCTTGTCGTGATCATTGTACATTACTTTATCAAGGACAAAAGAGACCAGCCTGAGTGGCTTGGAGCCCAGACCCTCTCAGCCAGCCAAGTGGGTGAAAGGCCGGGTCAGGTGGGGAGGTGGAACCTGTGGGGATGGAGCACATGCCACGCGTCCCCACTGAATGGGTTCCATCTTCTCCGCATAAGGAGTCTCAGATGTCTGCTGGGAGACTGGTGGAGTCGTGGAAGCAAAGAGGCTGGTTAATCAGAGAGACAGGCTGGGTGCAGTGGCACATGCCTGCAATCCCAGCACTCTAGGAGGCTGAGGCAGGAGGATCACTTGAGGCCAGCAGTTTGAGACCAGCGTGGACAACACAGCGAGACCCCCACCTCTACAAAAAAATTTAAAAATTAGCTCAGTGTGGTGGCATGTGCCTGTAGTCCCAGCTACTCAGGAGGCTGAGGCCGGAGGACTGCTTGAGCCCAGGCATTTGAGGCTGCAATAAGCTGTGATCACGCCATTGTACTCCAGCCTGGGCGACAGAGCAAGACCAAAGGGACCAAAAAAAAAAAAAAAAAATCAGAGGGAAAGAGAAAGTGAAAGGCACCCTTCAGCCACCCAGCAGCCTGTGGGGCCACAAGAATGAATGTGACACTTATACAAGGCACTTGGCAGACAAAGGACTAGCAGAACACCCATGCTGGCTGTTTCCATCTTTTCCTTTCTTTAGTTGAAAGTATGGCCAGGTCATCCCTAGTCTTTAAAAAATCTTCTGAGTGGCTTCCTCCTCCAGCCATCACCCCTGTTCACAGCCCACTCACTGTTGAGTTCTGTGAATGAACAGTCAGCCCAGTCTGGGTCTACCTTCCGTCTTCCCCTCATTTCTCAGATCGTTACCATCTTCCCCTATTCTAACAGTAAAGATAGCGACCCCTGCCATTGGTTTATCAATTTAGGTGTGCAAAGGACTTTCAGATAATGGACAAGAGCACTTGCACAGTGGGCAGAGAAAGCATTCAGGAGATGGTGGTTCTCATCCTCCCTCCTGGCCTCGTCTCCCAACAGGGGTTATTACTCCATCTCTGCAGATGAAGACATGGGTGCTCAGGGCATAACAAGTCTGGTCCCCCAACCTGCGCTTCGTAGACGGGGTCCTGGAACACGGACTCCAGACCCCGAAGGCAGCCCTCTTAGCCTGTTCCCATCAAGCCTCCAGGAACCCTCTCCGAAAGGTCACCAGCAAGTCGAGTCGTGCCTTCTCAGACCTCTGAGTGGCATCGGGCAGACCAATGTCCTGACACGCTGTGCTCCCTGATTCTCTGACAAGGCACCTGCCCTAACCTGCTCGGAGCCACCCCTTTTCTGCCACCTGCGTTTGTTTCTTTTCCTCCTTCTTCCCTCCAAATGCTCTTGGCCCTTGGCTCACTCAGGGACCACATCTGGGATGACTCTGCAGCCCCAACCACATCTACGGCGCCCTCCCTTGCCCAGGGCCGGAGCACCTTCCCACTAGGTTCCCGTGCAGCCACTAGGGCTCCCCGACGTGTGTGTTCTTTGGGCCTATCCAGGTCTAACCTCCAGTTTCTGGTGCAAAACTGAATTGTCATCTTCTTTTCCAAAAACCAGCCTTTGAATTCCTTCATTTCTTTTAATGGTACCAATGGTTCTCCTGTGACTCAGTCTCAGAATTCCAGAATGTCTTTTGCCGCTTCTCACCTGCCTCCCACCCTTGCAGAAAAAAAAAAGGCTGTTGTGTTTAGCAGGTTCTGCCTCCAACAGCATTTTCTTCCACCCCTTTTATTATGCCTCTCGTGCCGCTGCCCTGGCGGAGGGTCGCGGGCAGCAGACATTGCACACGATGCTGCCAGGCTGTCTCACTGTCCCCAAACCTTCAAGGGTTCCTTGTTGCCTAGAGAACTCAGCAGGTGGGTTGAGGAAGGAAATCACGTGGGCACAGCAGCACGGCTGAAGGCCCCTGGGGAAAGAGCCCTGGAATAGAAACGCGAAGACATGAACTCTAGTCTGGGCTCTGCGGCCACCCCACTTCCTGACCACTGTCATGTCGGTTCAGATCAGGTGATTGGATTAGATCCTAAATTGCCTCCATCTCCAACACGGTAGATACGTGTGGATGTCATGCCTATGTAGAGTTGTGTGTGGATTATTTAACTTGCATTTGTAACAATTTTAAAAGTGCTTTTCTAGCCATTGTATCAGATGATTGTCACAACAGGGCTTTCAGGCAAGCAGAATGTGTATGTATCTCTTCTTTATAAATGGGAAAGCTAAGCATCAAAGGTGTCCAATGGGTTGCCTGAAGTAATGCTAGTGTGGAAAGAGACCGGACTTTGGATCAGATCTGAAAGTCAAGTTCCAGCTACACCCTTACCGAACTTCACTGAGCTTCCATTTCCCCAGCTGTAAAATGGGGATGAGAAGGTAGCACCCACTTCTCCAGATGTTCCGTCCTTTAGGTCACACCGTGTTGGGGCCCCAGCAGTGAGAGTTAGATGTGCGGTGAACCAAAGCCTGGGCGTGGGGGAGGGGCGCCAGCTTGCTAAGGCCCTGCAGGTCCCTGCCCCAAGCAAACTGGGGCCTCTAACCCTGCGTCCGTCTCTCTCCGTCTCTCGGCAGACATCCAAAGGGGAGAGGAGAGGACCCAGACACAGCCAAGGGCGAGCACAGGGGGATCCCCGGTGGTCCAGACTCCGAGACCCTTTGGGGTCTTTGCCGCTCAAACGCATGCGTGTGTTTTGTGGCGTTGGATCAGGTCTCGCCAGGCCTGTTTGTCTTGCTGGTGTGGAGAAGGCATTGCCCTGGGAAACATGACCTCGGCCGTGAGGTGGGATCGATGTCCTCTGAGTCCAGCTGGTGCATGACCAACTCCGAGAGGCTCACTCGGGGCGGAGGGAGCACCGCCATGGAAAGGAAACCACGGCAGACGCAGAGCAGAGGAGTGTGGCCACAGCACGTGGGCACGTGGCACAGGCCAAGATGTGACCGGGTCAGGAGTGCTACAACTTGGGGTGGAGGGCAGCCTGATAACTTTCTGGTCTTAGCTTTAAGACAGGGAAACTGAGGCCCAGAGATTGGGTTGTCCAGAGTCACACAGGAGTTAGGAAATCTGAGACGTTTCCTATTTCTAAGAATGGAATGGTCTAAGCATTTGGATCCACATTCTCACTGATAATACATAAAAATCCTGGATACAGGCCGGGCCCGGTGACTCACGCCTGTAATCCTAGCACTCTGGGAGGCCAAGGCGGGTGGATTGCTTAAGTTCAGGAGTTCGAAACCAACCTGAGCAAGAGCCAGACCCCGTCTCTACTATAAATGGAAAGAAATTAATTGGCCAACTAAAAATATATACAAAAAATTAGCCCGGCATGGTGGCGCATGCCTGTAGTCCCAGCCACTCTGGAGGCTGAGGCAGGAGGATGGCTTGAGCCCAGGAGTTTGAGGTTGCTGTGAGCTAGGCTGACACCATGGCACTCACTCTAGCCTGGGCAACAAATCGAGACTTTAAAAAAAAAAAAAATCCTGGATACGATATCAAAAGTGTCACTAAAATACAGCGGTCACCGATTGCCTCAACTGTGCGAAGGCCCATCAGACCTGGAATGACCTGTCCCTGTGCCAACAGGGCAGCATCCCTCACCTTTGAGTCCCTCCCTGAGGGGAGACAGCACCCTGCCCTGACACCACCATTTGATGTCCTCAGCCGCCTCCCGCTGGAGGCTGAGCAGAGCAGGGACACCCACATGACAAGGTGCTGTCATAAGAAGGACACCACTCCAGTGGTCGTTGATCAAAGAAAAAAAAGGGGACAGAATAGGCCCAAGTTCATTGCCCTCACTTTGCTCTGCTTGGCTCATTCCTTTCTGATTTTGAGTAGATAATCTCTAAATCCCCCTCTCATCTGTGATACTGCTTTCCCGAAGGTTGATAGGTTGCTTCAAGTTCAAGGCACCACCTCTCCTGTTCCCAGGTGGCCGACTGAGGAGACGGGCAGTGTGTGCAGGGGCCAGCCCGTCCCCAGTGCTGGCTGCTGGGAGGACTTGCCTGCCAGGTCTCTGAGTCATCTGGGGAAGCTGTCTGCGCTGGTACCAGACCAGCAACTGCTAAAGGCCTCGCTCCCCATAGGAATCCACCCTGGAGTAAAAGAGGCTCCAGTCTCACCTCGCCTCGCCTCACCTCCTGCCCCAGGCCCTGACACTGAGTGTGATGCAGGGAGAGGCTACCTCATCCGTCTGCTCTAAGCCCCCAAATTCCAATCTGCACTTCCGCACCCTCAAAGAGGTCCCACGGGTCTGCCAAGCCACCTACACCTCCCGGCTGTGTTGGAGGTGTATTTCCCCTCCCCAGCCCCAGGCACTACCCTGGTCTGGCCAACTGCATCTTCCTGTCTAGAGTTCTGCACCCAGCATTTAAGACCCTTGGTGGTCTGGCACCTACCTGCTCTTTTCCTAGCCTCCAGCCATCCGGAGTTGCTCAGTGTTGCCCACCCACGGCCTGACCTCCCAGTCCTGCTGGCTCTTGGCCTGTGCTCATCTCCGGGCCAGGGGGCCACCTCATCTGCCTGCGACTCCTACTCGGCCTTCGGCCCCAGCTGGGGAGTTGGCTCCATCGTGGCAAAGTCAGAAGTCCCTCCTCTGGGTTCCCAAAGCACGTATATATACATGGCGTCAAATTATTTCTCTAACTGCCTCCACCACCCACCCTGTGAGTCCCTTGTGAGCAGAGGCTGAGTCTGACTGTGTTGAATCCGTGGTGTGACACGTGCTGGACGCTCATTAAGTCCGGGCGGAATTCATCTCCCGGCAGAGTTTTGGGGAAAGACGTCTGGCTCACACCAGAGCCGTGGGGGCGTCTCACCTCGAGACCCTGCTGCTAGGCCAAGCTTCCAGGCCCTCCCCAGAAGTAAGTGTGGTATGGTGCAAAGCCATACCTCCCCAACCACCCTGTGTCACATTCCAGCTTTGCCTCTCAATTGCCCACTGCATGCCCTTGAACATGTCATTCATTCATTCATTCATTTATTCAGTCAGCATTTAATGGACATTTTGGTGGCTTTGGTGTGTGTCAACTTAGCTAAGCTGAACTACATTTCCCAGAATTCCTTTGCCCCCAGGGTCCTGGGTTAGGGTTGGCCATAGGACAAATGCCTGCGAGATTTGGAAGGCAGAAGTGGCGGCAGCCATTTTGTTACAATCTGTAGGTTGTGCAGAGCAGGCACAAGGACACCTGGTGCACACTGTGGCTGGACTGCTGGCTTACCTTGTTGGGCTAGGGCAGCCGCTGGGCCCACAGGTCCTCCAGGTGCTGGGCCAGGTGTGCGGCTCTGGGGTAAGGTCCCCAGGTTGTCTCTCAGGTCACCTGCATCATGGAGACTGCAGGTGGTGAGAGCCAGACACAGTTCCAGCTTGTTCTTTGTCTTCCCCACCTAATGTCCATCTTCCCTCCTGACCTCAGGCCCAGCAGAGACACGGAGACAAGCCCTCCCACGGACTAATTAACCAGCTCCCACCAGCGAGGGAGGTGTGGCTCCTGCGGTAACCCCTATTCTCTCTATTCTCGCTTCTGATGGAACCCCCGAGGGGTGCTGTGCGACAGGCCCCTCCTCGCACTGGAGATAGGAAAATAAACAATGGGGGTGGAGGGGCAGTTAAACGATCTTTAAGATTCCCAACTGCCGCGTCACATGTGTGACTGGACGAGCCCCAGGGAAAGGCACATGGAACCACTCTTTGCACATCGCTGGTGGAAGGAACAGAAGGAAATAACGAAGGGCCAAGAAGCCACTCGGGAGCTAGGCTTTGATGACCTTGAGGCTGTGTCTACCTGGGGCTACAGAGAGACCTTTGGCCTCTGACCACTAGTTAGTCCAGTTAAACAACCACCTGTTATTTTCCTTTCCGTTAACCCCGAGGTCAAAGGCCTTCCATGCTCTGTGCAGGAGATGGGAGGTTTGCAGCCTTTATACTGTCCTTTTTAAACTATCAGTAGTAGAGAAACGGCTTTTAAAAAAATTTCCAATCTGTCACAGATGGACCCTTTCATAACATACAATAAAAATGAATCGTTAGGAAAATGAAATGCAAAAAATCCGGTATCAGAGCCCAGATGTTTAAATTAGAGATAGTAGGCGTAAAATCATTTCATCAAATCGCCATAAGCATTCCTAAATGCTGACTCTCAATTCTTGCATTTTCCTCACCGTGGACTGGTCACCAACAATCCATACGCAGTGCTGACGTGTGCACCACACTTTGAGTAGACCAGAGCCCTGGCTTCCCAGTGGGCAGGACCGCTGGTGAGGTTTCTTACTCTTCTGGTGCAGGAAAAACAAAGAAAATAGGCCTTGGAGGCTCTCACCCGGTGACCATGCTTGGAGACCAAACCTCCCAAGGACTCAGGTGTCCCATCTGTGAAATGGAGCACTGGTGGAACGATGAGGGGACACATGTGAGAGCGCATTGTAAATGCTTTCTGCTGCGCAGCCAAGATGAGCTGAGCCCGGGTGGGCTTTGGCTGTGGCTGCACATTCTGGTAGTCACGGGAGCAGGGACAGAGATAGACAGACAGGGAGAGGTCTTGCCGAAGGATCACTGTCATGAGATCTCTCTCTCTGAGACTGAGGAAGGGCACACGTGCTGCCTCTGCAGACAGAGAAAAATCAGAGGACACAGAGCAGAGAAGGGCTCGTACCCCCTTCCTAGGAGGCACGTGACATGGTTTGGGGCAGTAAAGTCAGCTTAAGGAGTGTGTTACTTTGGGAGTGTGGACAGGTTGGGAAGTGTGGGGTCCTCCGCAAGTGCTTGCTAGCAGGGGCAGCTTCGAGGCATGTTCTTTTTATTAGAGACGAGGTCTCGCTCTGTCACCCAGACTGGAGTTCAGTGGCCTGACTCATAGCTCATTGCAACCTCAAACTCCTGGGCCCAAGTGATCCTCCTGCCTCAGCCTCCCAAGCTGGAGCTATAGACATGTGCCACCACATCCGGCTAATTTTTTTTTTTTTTTAAATTTTTGTAGGGATGGGGTCTTGCTGTGTTGCCCAGGCTGGTCTTGAACTCCTGGCCTCAAGTGATCCTCCTGTCTCAGCCTCTCAAAGTATTGAGAATACAGGTATGAGTCACATCGCCTGGCCTGAGGCATGTTCTTTAAGGGGGCAAAAGTAGACAGGTTGGCGAGCCCAACTAACCTACTCTCTGTGGGCCCCCGTTATAACTAGGGAGACTTTGACCTACAGCATGCATTCCCAAGGGGCCAGTATCACCCCCCCCCAAAGGAGCAGAGGGGAAAATCTTGTTGTGTTTATATATAAAGCACAGATATGCCTATAGTATATAAGCAGCATATCTGTGCTATTAACATTTCCAGTGTCAGGGTTATGATCAGGGAGGGAAATGTTCCTTAGGGGTTCGGTAATAAAAGAAGGGTTTAAATACACCAACCTAGAGGGTCTATAGTCCTGCCGTTATGTAGACGGATGCAATAAACCAGTGAAATTCGTTCACACGCGCTCATTGTGAGCTCACTGGTACCCCCAGGCTGCTAATTTGCGTTATTAGTAACCACAAACCCCAAACTCCTGACACCCGACAAGCGGAGACACCACAGGAGTTTGTAGTCTTTCCTGTTCCTGCCACTCCTCCATACCAGGCAGGTCTCTTCCAAAGCCCTGATCTGTCTGCAGGTCTCTGGGCTGTCTTAAGACGCTGCCAGCTCATCCCAGGGCTGAGATTCCAGGAGGTGTAGTGCGGACTGTGAGCTCTAGCGAGCAGGGCCCTGCTCTTCCACCAGCCTCAGCGACAGTGCCTCAAGCCTGTGGCCGTTCCAGACACATTAGCTGTAGGAAGAACTCTTCCCTTCCTCACCCCTGTGCCCAGCCTCTCTCTCCCTCTCCCGGTCTCCCTCTGAGCCTCCTGTCGGTCGGCTATCCAGCTTCCACTCTGCCCTGCTCCGTTCAACTTGGGTGACCTTAAAACATAGGTTGGATCCTGTCACTCCCTGCTTAAAACCTTCCCCGTTGTACTTAGAAGAGTCCAAAACTCCTCAAGGCTGTTTGCTGTTCTGCAAAGTCAAGTTCTTTCCTGTTTCATGGCCTTTGCCCAAACTGTTGCCTCTGCCTGAAATGACCCGCTCCCCCTGCCCGAGTCTGGCTGTAAAGTCACAGCTTCGAGGAGTCTGCACCCACCCCCGTCGCCTCCTACTCTCTGCCACCTTGTTTGTTTCCTTCCTACTTAGTCGCAGGCAGCGGTTGCACTTTTGTAGCGGTTGGTTTGTTGGTTTATTGTCTCTTCTTGCTAGACTGGAAACTTCCCGAGGGCAGGACCGGGTCCCTCTTGCTCACTGCTCTATACTCAACGGCCACAGAGTGCCCAGCGCAGAGCGGGCATCCGATGCTTATCTGTGGGCGGCTCTGCGGGGCCAGCGCTGTGCCGTGGGAAGGAGCCAGCTGACGGGGCTCGTGGGAATGCACGCGTGAACGGTCGGGGACTGGAAGACGGGCCCTCACTGGGCCTCCCACCCGGCACGCAGGTCCACACGGGCTGGGGACAACAGGGCTGAGGTCAGAGAGGGTACTGCCCAATATTCTCCAGGGTATAGGCCCGAGTGAGCCCTGGGGGACTTCACAATCTTGATAATCCACAACAGCTATTGGTAATTAACCTGGAGGCTAAAATTCAAGTTTCTAACTCCTCTAGGTAGAAAAGTGATCCCTCCCCCGCCCACTCTTGTCAATATGTCCCAAAGACTGGACAGGAGGGAAGAGGAGGCTTGGCCACCACTCCTGCAGGGTCGCAATGTCGGCAACGCCAATGCACTTCTTGTCTGCTTTTTATTTTGAAGGCACTACCATGACTTCTATGCAGTTTCCATGAAAAATATCCCCGCAACCCGATTCAGCCAACCTAATTCATCGTGCTGTTAGTAACACCGGTGGGCTTACATTTTCAAGGAATCGTCATATCTTCAGTCTCCCTGATTCGGCCAGCCTAACCATCGGTGCCATGCCCTGGGGAGGCAAATAGAGAGAAAGAGGGTCAACTATCTAGCATATACCAGAGCCGTGCATATTAGCTCATTGCTGAGTCACTACCTGAGAAGTAGGTTTTATTTTCATGTTACAGAGGAGGAAAGAGACTCAGGGACAATAATATGTAACTTATCAAAAACCACAAACGTATTAGCTGAGAACTCATTAAGAGTTCTTCAACAGAACATGCTGTATTTTTATGTCTTAAGGATATGTGGTATAAGGTTTGCACTTGGATTAAATCGGAACATCCGCTGCACAGTCCATGATGGAGGGAGATTTCATTAGCGAGGAGCCAATGTCAACAAAGTCAAAGAACATCGGTTTCTCAGCCAGCACATGAGCGCTGGGCGACATCGGCTGGGGTGAGATGAGATTAGAGGTATTTCAGCAACATGGAACGAAAACCTCACTGGACCAGTCAGCCTGCGTTCAGGTCCAATCTCGTTTGTCACATACAGTGTGCCTTTGAACCAGCCTGTCACCTGTCTGGGCCTCAGTTTCCCGAACAATAAAACAAAGAGGTTGAGCTATATGTCACTTATATAGTCCCTCCTGGCTTGAATGTTCTGCGAGTGAATCATTCATCATGTCTAGGTCTCAATTCAACCTTCCTGGACATGCCAGAACCTTTCCTGAATTCTTTTCTGACCGGCATTACCATGCTTCCTGGCTCCAAGTCACAAAAATTCAGGGCCCCCGCTGCCTTCTCTCTATCACCCTCCCCCCTGTATTCTTTCTTTGATGTAATTCAGATTCCACGGGCTCCTATCCACGCCTGCCGCTGAGGGGCCCTGGGACTGCTGCCGAGATCTGGACTGCTTCCCGCCGTGTGGCTGGGGAAGGTACATGGAGTCTCCAAGGTTACTGGAGTCCAGGAGGACAACACAAGACAGCAAAGTGACACTAGTGAAACATACAGAATCATTGATCTGATCTCAAACTCCTGACCTCAAGCGATCCTCCCGGCTCAGCCTCCTAGATCTCTAGGATATAGGCATGAGCCACCACGCCCTGTGAATCATCAGGTCTGAGACAGCTGGGCCCAGCCTGGATCCTCTGGTGTGGACCCTATAGCCAGGCCTTTGTCCTTGGCACAGAAAGTGCCAGTCTGGAAGGAGCATGGCCAGTCCCCACTGTCTGCCTGTCTGAATGTTTCCTGAATTGGCCTTACAGTGCTAACGGGGTCGGAGATGAGAGGTTGTAGGTTCATTTGGTGAGAAGCTACAGATCCCCCAGATAGAGGGCCCATCTCTTCTCTGCTGTGGGGCATGTGTTCTCCACTAAAGAATGTCTACCCTGTCCCCAGCCCTAACTTGCATTCTCCCCCCAGGCAGACTTAAGTTCAGTGAGGGGAAGGTTCTCAGCAACCATAGGCTCCGATGCTAATTTGTCATGGGACCCATAAGCAAGCTCCTTCCCTTTGTGGAGCCATCATGTCTTTATCTGAGCAATGAGGTCCCTAAGGCCCTCTTTGCCTCTGCAATCCCCTGGCCAGCATTTCAGGGCAGTCGGTACTGGGCTAGCCGTCCTTGTGTGCAAGGCGGGAGGCCTGGCGAGCACGTTGACATCCGCACCCACAGGAACGTCCTGCCCGCAGCCTGGGCGGGACTGCCAGGGCAGGGAATCAGGGATGGCGTGGTCTAGGGGACCCACATCGGGTGACTTTGGGTCTTATCTGAGAGGGTGTGGGCACGTGGGCTCAGGCCTGGCCGCCACTCTAGCCTCCATTCCCCAACTCACAAACCTACGCACATCTCTCCTAGGGCTTAATGATTAGCACAGGTGCGGAGGTGGGTCAACAGCCCGAGGGCCCTCGGTTACAAAACACCTCCACCTCCAGGATCCTGGCATCAAAGCTCTACAGGAGGGGTTATCTCTGTTTTGATCTGGTGATGAGAAGCGTAAAACAAGCTGCCCGAAATCACACAGCTCATACCTGGTAGATCTGAGTCGGCAGCTCAGCTCATACACCTCCTGTTGGTGCTCCTGTTGGTGCCTATACTCATGGCTGCAGACACCTGTCCTTGGCCCCATGCCAGCTGGCTGCAACATCAGGGAATCAAGGACTTTGCTTCTGCAGGTGTTGGCCCAAGAGCACAGGACGCCTGTGGTTTAAACAAACAAAGGGCTTCACAACCCCGCTCCTCTCGTGGTGATGTGGAACCTGGCTCCTAGCATTCTGCTCAGCCCCAACCTTGGCCATCACCAATGGGGACATCACCGTCTGAGTCTCTCTCTCCCATGGCCGGGTCTTACCTCTCTGACCCCTAGCCCCACACACGCGCCTACAGTTGCTGGGCACCATCTAGAACTGCCGGAGCCAGGGGTCCTCCTCTCTGAACGCACGCGTGCATCGCTGCCCCTGGCCCCTACACACACGCCCCGCACCGTGCTCACCTGCACTTCAGGCAGAGCGACACAGCTGCCTGCGCCTTCCCTAGCAATCTGGTGTTAAGTATGACGATCCTTCTCTATTTTATTTATGGCTCTACGGAGAGGACAACCTGAATGAACTACAAGTGAGAACACGTGCTATCTCATAAGACAAAACAGAACAGAGTAAGGGTCTCCAGGTGATGCCGCTGCCCGGGAGGGTGTGGGACGGCCGCAGTCTACCTCACTCCCCAGCCTCCCTCCCACAGTGCCACCCCGACCTCCACTTGCCCGCTGCCCCCATGCTCTCACTGTCCACCCTCTGTCCCCCCATTCCCGAAGCCTGGGGCCCCTCTGGGGCAGGCCGCCACAGCATGCGTGTTTCCTGGTGTGTTTGATGGTACAGCACGGCCATTCCGCAGTCCTGGCCTCCATGTCCCCAGAGGGAAGCAGGGGGCTGTGCCAGGTCCTAAAGGCTCTTGAGTCGGGGAATGAACCTCCCCGTCTGCTCAGCTCACTCTGCAGAGCTCCAGGGCCAGGCCAGCCTTCCCGCACCCCTTGACTCGCTTTGCTGCCCCGCCAAGGGCCAGCGGGAGCAGCTGGAAGCAGCCACCACTCTCGTGTGGCTGAGAGGGGTCTCCTGGAGGGCGGTGGCCTTGGCCAGGAGAACAAGGTGCCACCTCTCAGCTGTGCTAGGAGAATAGGAGAGAGCAAGCAGGGAGGCAGGGGTTAATGTCACCCCACTGCTAGATCCTGAGACCCTGAGCTGGAATGGGAGCAAAGTGTCAGGAATGCTCCCTTGGGCTCAGTGCCACTGACGTCTCCCCTCCCGTCTGCAAACAGTTGTGCTTCCAGATCACTCGCGGCAGATGGCACGTAGGATGGCGGAGAGGGCAGAGACCGAGGGAGGGGCTGACTGTGGCCCCAAGGTTCAGGTAAGAGATGAACTGTGCACTGAAGTGTCAGCCACAAGGAAGTGATGACCGTGATCCTGGTACGTCGTACTAACTGCCACAGCGCCGCGGGAGCTCCGGCACAGCTGGAGGAGGGCCTAGAGCTGTCATTCGAGTTGGCTCTTTGAGGATGAGGAGTGTGTCAGCTAAGAAGGTAGGGAGGAAAGAGCACGTTGTAGACAGGGCAGGTCATGAGCAAGACACAGAAAGCATCGTTTCTAAAAGCTACCTACGATGGACAGTACTCGGATGGAGACAAAGCACGAAATCACTTCCTTCCCCTGAGACTCATGTCCTGTCCCACTACATGGAAAGCTCCCTACTAGGTGCTGGTGCGTGGGGACCTAAGAATGCATGACTCTCTGCCTGAGGGACATGCAGTCTGGTAGGGGAAACACGGGGAAAACAAGTACCATGTTTCCCCGAAAATAAGACCTACCCATTAAATAAGCCCTAGCAGGATTTCTAAGCATTTGCACAACATAAACCTGCCCCCAAAATAAGACCTAGTGATGGGTGTGGCTACGCAGCGTATCTGCACAACCCATGCATTTCGTCATGGAGCGGTAAAGAAGACGAGCAGCTCTTCCCATCTGCCCCATCCTGACAGCTACTATCCCAGAGGTGACCGGAAAGGTGCAGGCAGCCCCACCAAAGTCAGCTGCCCCTGTCAGGTCCCAGCCACCCTGTGCGTGCTGCACGCTGAGGCTTTGAGGGGAAAATAACACATCCCCTGAAAATAAGCCCTAGGGTGTCTTCTTGAGGAAAAATAAATATAAGACCCTGTCTTATTTTCAGGGAAACATGGTAGTTAAGGACTATGGAATTGTATCTGCAGATGGAAACTTCCAGATGACCTGGCCCAAATTCGTTTTTCTAAACATGGAGAAACAAGAGGTGGATTGATTTGTCCAAGACAAAAGGCCAGCTGGTAGGAGGGCCTGGGTGAGGCTCGAGGCTTCAGGTCTCCGTCCCATGCCCCTTGCCCTTCTCCAGGTGTGGCAGATGCCACGGCAGGAGAGCGTACCCGGCCACGGCCTGGGAGGAGAGTGGGAAGTTCTGGTGGGGTGACGTGTGGCATGCGGTGAGGCACCTGGAGCCGACCTTGGAAGGCAGAAAGGGCAAAGGGCGTGCGTGCTCAGGAAATGGGGCAGCCCGTGGCCATGAGACAGAGGGGACAGAAGGGGTCCCATTGGAGCCCAGGCTCAGACGATAGGCGGGGCAGACTTGCACTGACCTCCCAAGAAGTCAAGAGGTTATTTCGGAGCAATGAGGAAGTAAAGAGGCATTGAAAGGTTTTGCGGGCTCCGAGCCATGTTTTCGAGATCACTCGTGGCAGATGGCACGTAGGATGCCTGAGAGGGCAGAGACCGTAGGATGGTGGAGAGAGGGCAGAGACGGGGGAGGGGCTGCCGGCGGCCCCGAGGCTCAGACAAGAGATGAGCAGCTCGAGGATGCTGGAGGCTCCGAGGTGGTAGAAATAAGACTGAACGACTGAAGGAGAGGGAGGAGCAGCTGGGATCAGCTAGTCGTTGCTCAGGACGGGCAAACAGCTCCAACAGAGGACTCCAACTGCCACCCGCACCCCCATCGCTGGTCCCCCTAGATCTCCATCCCAGTTAGGCTTCTCGCCACCTTTCTAGGCATGTGTCCCGGTGCTCCTGCGTGCAAATACTGCTCCGAGCAGACTTGACGGCTCTGGTTTTGTTTTTGTTTTTTATGAGACAGAGTCTCACTCTGTTCCCTGGGCTAGAGTGCCGTGGCATCAGCCTAGCTCACAGCAACCTCAAACTCCTAGGCTCAGGTGATCCTACTGCCTCAGCCTCCCGAGTAGCTGGGACTATAGGTGTGTGCCACCACACCCAGCTAATTTTTTCTACTTTTAATTGCCCAGCTAATATTTTTTTTCTGTTTTTTTGTTTTTTTTTAAGTAGAGTTGGTCGTCTTGCTCTTGCTCAGGCTGGTCTCAAACTCCTGAGCTCAAGTGATCCTCCTGCCTCTGCCTCCCAGGGTGCTAGGATTATACCCGTGAGCCACTGTGCCCAGCTGATAGCTCTGGCTTTGAGAGCCACATAATGTTTCCCGCCATTCCCACCCCTAGAGTATCATCTATGCACTTCCTCCTCCTCCTCCTCCTCCACAGTTACATGCTGACTCTTCAAGATGCAGCCCCAAACCTACCAGCCACAAGCATCCCTCATCCCCCAGCTGGAAGTGATCGTATCCTGGTGGCCCTAAAGCACTCCCACTCTTGCCCAGCTTGGTGCTCTTCCCTGATTCTTTTGGGCATAGGTAGATGTTTTCCATCCCCTTGTAGAGTGTGAGCTGCTGGAAATCGGGGACCATTCAAGATGGCAAGTGTGCTGGTCGCTAACGGGGCCGCAGAGGTGAGTGTCTTTGCCCGCACAGTGTGGCCAGCTTGTCGGCCTAGCGACACAAGTAACTGTGGGGCAGAGTGTCGGGAGCAGGAGGGGTAGGTAGCAAGTACAAAAATCTATGACATCAGGATGGTCACTACCGAAAAACCAGAAGACAGCAGGAGTTGGCAGGAGTGTGGAGAAAGTGGCGCCCTCGTGCACGACCGTCGGGAATGCCCGGCTGCCCTGGAAGCACCGTGGGGGGCCCTCAAAAAGTTAAAAATAGAATCACTATGTGTGATTCTAGCAATTCCCTTCTGGGGACATCCCCAAAATAACTGCAATCGGGATTTTGAAGACATCTTTGTGCCCCTGTGTTCACAGCAGCATCACTTACAATAGCTGAGACGACGAAGCAACCCCAGTGTCTGCCCGCGGCCGGTGGATAAGCAAAACGTGGGCAGGCACTCAGGGGCCTTATCACCCGGCTTTGAACGGAAGGAAACTCTGACACATGCTACACAGGCGTAAACTTTGCAGACAGATGCTAAGTGAAATAAGCCAGTCACAGAAAGACAAATACTCTATGACTCCACTCGCATGAAGTACTCAGTCAAATTCATAGATAGAGAAAGTAGAACACTGGTTGCCAGGGGCGGAGGGACAGGGAAACAGGGAGTTAGTGTTCCATGGATGGGTACAGAGTTTCAGTTCTGCACAAGGAAAAGAGTTCTGGAGACGGATGGTGGTGACGGCTGCACAACAATATGACTGTGCTTGATACCACGGAACTGTACACTTTTTAAAGTGGTTAAGATGGTAAATTTTGTCAGGTATATTTTACCACAATAAAAGAATTCAAGACAGGAGAACATCTATGAGCAATCAGGAGTCAGCAAAGATCTTCTGTAAAGTTGAAATATTTTCAATTTTGCAGGCCATACAGCCTCTGTCAAAACTACACAACTTCTCAACTCTGCCAGTGTAGCCCAACAGCAGCCATAGACAGTAAGTACACAAATGAACATGGCTGGTTTCCAATAAAACTTTATTAACAGAAACAAATGGAGGGCCAATTTGGCAGGTGGGGTATAGTTTGCTGACTCCTGACCAAGGGGTCTGCACCTGCATGTGACTTTCTGTTGACTACTGCTCGAAGGCTTCTGGGTCTGGGAGCTCCACGTTAGCATGTAGATTTTGTCAGCCAGAGTGTAAGGGATTTCTCTCGGGTAGAAAAGATCATTCCAAAGGACTTTTGCCCTAAAGGACAATACCAGCTTTGCATCTGACTTACGAATCTTATTCTAAGAGTCATTTTTTTCAAATCTCTATTAATACTCTCTTCCTCCAATTTTCCCAGGAGCCATTTTTATATCCTGCTGAATCCCCCATTGATGAGTTAAACCTCCAACCCATGTTCTTTCTTTACAAAACAAAACCAAAAACCTATTAGAGATCGAAAAAGCGAGCAATCTGGAAAAGCTTCTTGGAGGTGGCAGCATTTGACAAGGGCCCAGGAGGTTAAGAAGATTGGCTGGCACAGAGGATGGGTGCAGGTCAGAGGAAGGTTTAGGGACAGGACACCAGCACTCCTGGCTGAAAGTCTCCCCCAGTGGACAATGGCTCGGGGAATCTCAGTCCCCTACCCAAGGCCTCATGTGGTCTCCTGCCCAGAGTCAGCCTGGGCCAAACTGATGCAGAGGCAGTGGGAAGAGGTGGGACTTGGAGGGCACAGAACAGGAGCCGGGGAGTGCCCAGCTCCGGCTCTACTGCCAACTGCCTGATCCTGAGGCTGCTGAGTACATTTAACCTCGGAATGTTTGGTTTGTCCATCTGCAAATAAAGTTACTGATAATTGTGGAACTGGTAACCCCCTGCCTCAATGCCCCTGATCAGGGGGGTGACTCCCCACAGCTCTGGTCACACCTGTGTGCCGTCCTGCTCACCCTGCCCTGCAGTCAGTGTGGGCTTAGGCTATGCCACAGGCATCTGCTCCCTGCCTGGGAGACAGGTGGCAATGAGGCCCCCGCATGACTGGGCAGCCTCGTCAACGCCCCATCACAGATCGTTCCCTCATCCCAACCAGAAACAATCACTGAGGCCTCTAATGCAATAGTTTATTTTTATAGAGTCACATTTACTCTTTCCAGTGAGCAGTCACCTGCTTCTCAAAATAACTCTGTGTGCTGCAGAGGAGCAGGTGGTGTTGGCCCCACTGTACCAGCGAGCACGCTGCGGTTCAGAGAGAAAGTGATTTCCGTGGCACCCGTCGTGT